TCGCTTACAATTCACAATATTCCTTGCCGATTCTCATTGCCCTACCCTGACCTGTGTTGAGCTTTCTTATCCAGCAAGATAGGTCTACGCGTCAAGAATCACAGCATGACCTCTCCAACACCGTTGGTAAAACGATCCCTCTCTGAGCAAGAAACCCCGGGAGATGAACCGTTGAGCTCGCCGGCAAAAAGGCGCCGGGTCAATTCCGCTGAGAAAGTGCCTATTGAGACAGCTGTCGCGCCCGAAGGTTTCGGAGAACTCATGCCCCAAGCAATTGCCGAAACAGATGTCTTAGTCGAACGTGCCTTCAGCTTAAGAAGTGCACTCGGGTTTGATGATTTGCAAATAGAATGCAATTGTCCACCATTGCGCGGTCGATCTGACTACCGTATCTGGCGCCGCAAAATGAGGCTTATTCTGAGCCGCAACCTGCTTTTGGATTTGGTTGAGGGGAAAATCGGGCAACTCCCTCGATCACATCACTTGGAAAGCCAATTAGAGGGTCTGAACGAGGTGGCGAGGAGAATCATCAATACAAACCTATCTGCCACTACCAGGCTGATTGTTCGCAACATTCAAAACCCACAAAAGATGTGGGAAAAGCTAGAAAAACACTGCAAACCTTCCGATTGGCGCTTGGTGCGATCTGGCTGGCTTGAGTTACAGAATATCAAATACAGCCAATGTTATGACGTCTGGGAGTATGTGTATAAGGTGGACGATGCATGGAGGTGCATCTGCCTTGACCAGGAGGATATTCTTGAGAAACACGAATTCGCCCGTTGTGCGAGTCTCGTGTGCTCTCTGGATACACCGAAGTGGGAAACGTGGAAGATGGGTTTTCTTTCTACCCACAATATCAATGTCCCGAGCTGGGCAAGCCTGGTGGAGAGCTTGACATCGGCTGAGGACAAGGGCATTGTGTCCGATCTGATTGGCATTGCAATCTGACTGTTTATTCCACTCAATCACGAAGACGTACACATAATCTCCAATATGCGTTTCGATTACTACGTTATCACCATGGTCGGCTTACTTGGCACGGGATTCCCCTCAAGAATAGGTGACTTATCATGTATTGATCTACTTCAGCCCCTAAACATTGAATAGTTCGGAAGTTATATAGCTTTATGAATACGGCTTACTACCTAGGGTGGTAAGCTATAGTAGTTAACAGGGGGGATATAACTCCCGAGCGGTTTATAGGACAGTGGAATGTTTGCTTGACCATGGCGCTCGTATCGATACCAAAGATTCAAAGCGGCGCACATCAGTATCCATTGCGCTGGAACTGGAAATCCCGAGCTGGCCAGAATGCTCTTCAACAGAGGTGCAGATCCACTAGTTGCCCTCGAACTTCGTGACAACCTCAGCGGTCTTGAAAAACTACTCCAACTGTTCGAAAAGAATGAATATGATGTTAGCTTTCTGGACATGCTCGAGGCTTCTTTGGAGCTCATGGCGGCAAGGGGTCATCAGAGTCATGAATTCTTCCATTTTACGCCCAGGAACGAAGGAACACTTGCTCGTCCGAGAGTAATTTCCCAGCTTGCCAATGCTCTAGCAGTGGAGGCTCCCATAGACTTGCCATATTATAAAGCTCGAGTCTATGTGTGGTCACATTTCTTTTTGATCAAGGCATTGAGAAAGCAATATTGGCGATCCAGGTATCCGGTCCCATTTGAATGAAACTTGCTGGAATGAGCACTCGGGAAATAGTTGAAAGCAAATTGATTGAGATGACGATTTTAGAGATTTGACGGTAGCATGAAATTAAGAAATTACAACAAACGACCAAGATTTGAATTGTATAAAGATCTGTCTATGGGCTGGCGATCATTTCCAGCTGCCGGCAGCTCTTACAGAGCACATGCAAGGATTAGCCCAGAAGAGATATATCTCCTTGGGAAAGAGTCTATCCAGGATACAGACGGGTAGCGCCGAGCGACGCAGCAGACCGGCTAGGCAAGGTCGCAGCAAGCCCGGGCAAATCGCACTCTTCAGGAGAGAAAGCATCCATCCGCGACAATATTCCAGAATAGTCCAGCTTTCTATTGTATGATTTCAAGCATAGATAGAGCAGGAATATAAGTAACCTTTTCGACTCTGTGACTGTACAATTGATTGATTCCAAGATTAGCTTGGTAATTGACTGTTCTCCTGTCAACATCTCTCTCATCTATGGATTTCACAAATCCAAAAAGGTATCGATCAGGTCAGAGGGCTGTTCAAAGAAATCAAACATCACGATCCCAACTCGCTTGCCCTTCTGTCTTTTCAGGAAACGCACTATCTGCTGATTAACCCCACCAGCTGGTGTATAGCTAGTACCGTTTCCCAGTGCCATGATCCGAGGCCAATCGGGAGGGTTGTTTTCAATGTTATTACTAGATGCCCAGGTCCAAAAGAGACTGTCCGGGTGCTGGGTAGTGGCTTTGCGGATATTTTCCACTGTGGCGTTGTATTTCCACCTGATGTTCTCGATCGCACTGGACCCTGTCGGTGTGAGCGGCTGGTAGTAATCTTCTATGTAGGCAGTCAAGCTCTTGGCCGTGTTGTACACCAGGGTGATATCTGGGCCGTTATCGGTCCAGAGACTAGGCGAGAAGTGCAGGCCGGGAAGCGCGGCTGTGTAAGAATCTGGAAGCTTGTCCAGGTCAAAACGGCGCATGATAATTATTTTGCCACGTGAATTACCCAGGGTGCCTAGTTCGTCTTTTGCTTGCATGAAATAATGGCGCGCGGCGGGGGAGGTGAGGATATTGTAGAGCTGCAGCTGCACGGCCGCGTTGTTGGAGGCGTGCAGAGCCGTCGAGCCTTGGTACTGGAATGAAAGGAAAATGGTCTCTGAGGGGTGATCATCCAGCCACTGATAAAAGCCAAATAGCACATCCTCTACTGTGGCTGTCTGCGAGAGCAGGGCCTCTGAATGGTAGAAGATGAGCGTGGAGTTCGTCGGATCGAAAGCATACCGCAGATCAAATGCCCGGATTCCGATGTTGAGCATATCGATCAACGGTGAGTCTTGGCACCGTAATGCCTCTGGCTCTGGAACGACGACCTGGTTGAGATCCGTAATGCCCCGCAGGGAGTCTTGCGTTGCCTGGGTATAATTCCACGTGGCGCTGTCATGAGTGCCAGGGATGTTCATATGAACAAGCAAAGTCTCATCGGGGTAGTTTTTCATCCATTCCGCTTTCCCTCCTGTGCTCTTTTCGTATGATCCAAATATTGGAGTGGCATTGTCAAGTACTGTCTGAAGTGCGAAATCCGCCAGGGTAGCAGACGCCAAGGGAAGGGCCGTGGCCATAATAACTAAAGCCTTCCACATCATTGTGGAAATACTGAGAGTTCAGTAAACGGATAATCAAATTCTCAGATCAAGGTACTTCTGGAATATTTACCGAGTAGCGTTATATATAGTGTCGAAAGGAGCCAATTATTGCGCAGGGGGTACCGATGCCAAGACCTCGCATTTACGGGGAGACGGGGAAACACATTGCCTCAACCCAACCACATTCGATGTTGAGAATACTCGCTTAGCCCAAAGTGGGCTATACTATGTAAAGCCACATGGCTAGCACTCCCCTTGGCTTGACGACGCCACGTGCACCAATTATCAAGTCGCGACTGGTTCGACTGCGGTGGAGCTTCATTTTGTGTCTCATCCTGGGGTTGGCAATCACTTCAGAAATCTATATATTCGAAGTTCTCCGACAAACCTGGTTTTCCTCACTCGAACCCATCTCCGTCATGCGCAGCCTCGTCTTGCTTTCCGTGGCGGCCTCAGCGCTGGCTCGAACCCCAGACTCTTTCTATCCCTCAAAGCTGAATCATACATCATACATCAGCAACAGCTCGGTTGGGACCTATGGTGGTATTTATGAAGCTCCAGCCAATGGTCCGACCGGAGGCAGCCCCTACGGCATCTATGACTACTGCTCGATGCCGCATCCTCGTTCAGATGAATACGAACTCCCCGAAGCTCTAGCCAAGGGGTCAACTAAGGGAAAGCTTGTGTACCTGGAGTATCTCCAGCGTCACCAGCGGCGAACTCCGTACAACATCCTCCCAGGTGGGGAGGTAAGCAACTCCCAGATCGACTCTCAGCCTAAACTAACTCCTTTCCCTAGAACCAAGCATATCACTGCGATGATGTGCGCCCGTATCTCTACGCAGGCCCCAACAGTGCAAGCGGTATCCAGCCCATGCCAATGTACGCACAGACATACCAGGACCCCAGCAACCCCTTCACACCCGGCGTGAACGGCACCTGTCAGTACCCCCAGATCACCATCGGGGGAGTCCAGGATGGATATCAACACGGCAAGGACCTGTGGGGCGTCTACGGCAAGAAACTCGGTTTGATCCCCGCGAAGCCAAACAGCCGCGTCTGGTTCCGCTCTAGCGAGTCCGCCCTCACCCAGGCATCGGCTGGCGCGGTCCTGCGCGGCGTGTGGCCCGACCACAAGGGAGCTCTACCCCTGCACCAGATGGTTACGTCTGTCAATACTGTCAACGGGGGATACTCTTGCCCTGCTGTCAGCGCTACTCTATCGAGTATGAAGTCTACCACGCAGTGGAAAGAGCATCTTGCTGTCACTGAGGAGTTGCGCTCGAAGCTGGGCTCTATGTTGGGCGCGACGGAGACTTCGTGGCAGAGTACCTTTGACCACTTTGCGGATAACTTCCAGGGTCGTCTTTGCAACGGCTATGATCTACCCTGCAGTCTGTCAAATTCGTCAGCCTGTGTCACGATGCAGATGGCTGAGGAGGTCTTCCGTGCTGGTGATTGGGAGTGGAACTACTACTGGCGCACGAACCCGGATGTGGTCAAGTATATCCAGGTTGTTGAGGGCTTGTTAATTGGTGAGATCATCTCTCGTCTGCAAGCTGTCCTGAACGGAAATTCTTCCCTTGATTATAGCCACATTTTTATTCACGATGGGGATATCGGTCCTATCCTAGGCTCTTTGGGAATCGAGACGCTTCGCTGGCCCGGTATGGCATCAAACATTGCTTTTGAAGTTTGGTAAGTCAAGCTGTCTTCTGATGTACTGGGATTATCTAACAGCTTTTCAGGGAGACGAAAGATAGTGAGGATGGGAACTCCTTCTACGCCCGGGTTTTGTATAGTGGCCATCCCATAAGAAGCATCCACGGTGTTCTTGACTGGGTCCCTCTCTCAAAGCTAATTGATATCCTGAGCCCCTACGTCCCTGAGGATATAACTTCGCTCTGTAGATAAAAGAAGGTGGAAATCGGCAATTTCAATTATGGTGTCAAAGGATATTTCTAGAATAATCATTTCAAACCTATCCTTTTTTTTTTTGGATCTATTCCTATCCCCACCAATTTGCACGCCCTTAACCCAGAAGGAACGACACCGTTAAATTA